GACAGGTTATTTCCTCATAGGCATCTTATCTCTCGGCTTCATCGATTCCAAGATTTCTCAAGTATATTACTCATTCGGTAGATTCAAGAATGTGTCCTTGGTCTGCGGATCGGGTATATATATATGATCGAATATCTGTGTACCGTGGCGACTCCCTTTCTTGTTCGCCGAATGCTAAATAAGTCAAAGGGTCCATTCTCCTGTCGTCCTCACCGTCCGTCTTAGAGGCCTGTTCAAATACTTTGCGACCCACCGTTCATATAGCCGTCTAGGGAGGGGGGGTGTTCTTTGAAGTTACGTTCGTGAGGTTGCCTGGGATGAGAAGGGTTATAACGAGGAAGCATAACGAACAAGGATGACGATGGAGGTTGTGAAGAAGGCGTATACAAAGCTCCGTCTTGGGCTGTAGCTTCATCAATGAGGTGTTCGAAGGTTTAAACAACAGGCTTCAGCGCACCATGAGGAGACCTACGAGACTCTCAGAACGGCAGAAGCTTCCACGACAATCACAGAAACTTTCGTCGATCCTTAATAGCCTTCGGTTATTGATTCCATAAGTAGTAGTAAACAATGAACTAAAATGAGCGAACAAAGCGTTAGGTGGAGACGCAACACTATATAGGAAGGCACATACCAAAGCGATGCTGACCTGTACGTGCCCCATACTTCCGTCATTTACTTCCTTGAATACTGAGGATCAAAACTAAATGGTATGAGCCATAATCCATTCGAACGTAAGTAGCAGCCTGCGCCGCGATGCTAGAGTTCCAAAGAAGGTTGACTACGTCGAGATTTGTCTTCCAAGCAACGAGACGATCCGAACATGGAAGTATGACATTTGATCCCTAGGATTTGATCTGCGCGTGTTGCGTTTGAGAATAAGAGGTTAATCGGCGCGATAATCCCGCGTTGATCCAAGGAATATAGCTTCGTGGGGTCGATCGATGGGGTAATGGAGCCGGTTCATTGTACGGAGCTATTCGTTCATGCTGGCCGATAAAAATCAGCATGAAGCAACAGCCTGTTACATCTACATCTTTTAAGCTATAAGTCTACAGACGCGTTGTATAAGGTCGATATACGTACATCTGATCGACCCATAAGCTGTACGCATTAACGAGATTATTTCCCTCAAATAGACAAAGAGGATATACGACCGAAACATACCTGCACGACTGGGGTGCATGGCAGCTGCTAGGCCACCTCTGTAGTAGAAACACGACCAGCAATCTTCTGAGAGTGTTCTATAGGACGTGTATTGGCGATAGAGTGATAAGAGGCAATCAGAAGCTGGAAGATTCTGCTTTGAAAGGATGAAGGTCAGCAGACGCAAGGACGGTCACCGACGTTAGAATGGACCTGTCCGCAAGTGCAGATATCGATCGGGAGAGCATGGGATGGTGGGATTTCGGTCGTCAACTGCTGCAGAACGCGAAGCAGCAACTAGGAGGAAGTGTACCGTTACGCTTGTCACGATCAGCTGACGTACGTGATGTGGCCACACATCATGCGCTCACTGCCCCAACCACGACACAAACTCTTGGCATCAACGCACTCTTGTTGCATGGGCCGTGTCGTAAGTGCAACGAATACTCGTGGGATGATGGCTACATGCGCAGCCCTCCATATTAGATGAGGCAACCGAGGACTGCCAAGCAGCAACATTCCATTGCCACATCCTCTCTTAGAGAAGATAATCGATCATCGAAGGGTAACAAAAATTAGCAGCACTTTACAACACACTAAATCTTGCTGTCTATGGGGAATCATTTAATACATGAAATCGTCGGTGATGATGGAGGCGATAAGGATTACCCAGCCCCAGCCCTCTGAAGCTGTTGGAGAGCGTGAAGGTACGTCGAGCTGATCCTAGAATTAAAGCATAGCTCTAATTTATCATTGATAAGTAGCACTGAATATCATTCATGCCGGCCAATGATTTCCCTTGCTGGGATGGATGTGGCAGCTGCTAATTCCACGATGGCAAAACAGATTCTTAGTCGGGAGGATATCTATGCAATTAGACTATAAAGAACTGCAAGAGTATAGTATAAATATATAAAGTAGGATTAACCTTGGTTGATTTTGCTAGGAAAATGGCTCGTACCTCAGGACCCCAAGATGGATAATCTCATCTATTTTTTGATACAGATACATGCAATTGAACCAAAACTACGAATGATCAATCCAAGGCGGATCTTAACTTGTATCTTCTCCTCCCTTGAGCACTCGAATTCACCTTTATCCTCGGTTAGGCTGCTGTTAATTTCACATCTAATATTCTGAAAATGTTTTATATATCTAGAATTCCAGACAATAACCATCTCTCGAATCGAACCCTCGCCGCATTAACGATATTCTGAAAACATCAAACAACTCAAAAACGATTGATTGTCATGTTATCTCAATCCTCAATGGGTATGTCCTCTTCGCTAGATACAAACGTGATTATAACCAATCATAAGCAAATTTATCAGGCCTCCAAAATGGAAAGAATGTTAGGTACGTTACAGCTACTAATATACGTATGGCACAGGAAGCACCATTAGGTCACCGCGGCGGCTCCTGTATTTCCAATGGATTTAAGAGACTGCAATATCTCAGGTCCAAGCAATAATTTTTTTTTGGAGCTCACTAAGCCCGTTGATAATACATTGGGATAACTCCTCGTGGATATGAAAAGGGGACTCTGCATGCCAGGGGATGGCGACGGAGACAAAAATACACACGATAACTGTACAAATACATTGCTGCAATTTATGCGAATAATGCATCCCCTCTGTCGAGCAGCAGGAACCGCTCATATTATATTGGTAGATGTCCATCTATTATAGGGCTTGAGTACATATCGCAACGCTGGTTTTCCAGTTAAATTTAATATCATCAGTATCACAAACAGTCAAACTGTCAACAAGTACCAGTTTTACTTCGTATTCTTATTCACATGATATGTTTCAACCCAATTTTAATATCCATTTCTCTTCACAATATCAATGTTTATTATTTAATATTAAATTCTTGAGGCCAATTATTGCCAGCCCGAACCTAACTACACCCTGTCGCACATAACTTGGATTTTGAAGATCTGACATTATTCTTAGATATATACATTCCCTCTCCTTTTCCCTCGAGGTCGATTTATCTCTCCATTATTATCAATGAATCTTCTGTCACTTTCCTTCTCTACTCACTTTTTTGCGTCGATTCTCAAATAAAGGCCAGTGCTTGTGTGGTCGATGATCCAACAATTTTGATACAGGTAACCTGGGAAATACACAACATAACTTGAATTCTTCATCTATGAAGGCAGATAAGAACTCAAATCAAAATAGGTACTTTCTAAATGTGGTAGTCCAAACCGGAGATATATGGCTCAGGATCTTTCGCTTTTCGAAATATAATGCCATGGCGTGAGGTATCAACGATAGCATAATTAAGGTAACTCATACGGTCCACATCCATCCAAATTCTCGGTTGCTTAAATCATTTTCGCCATAATCAATTAACAATGGTTCTACCCGAGAACGCGAGATCATGCTCTGCACAGCATAAAAGTTGTCACGGGAGTAAATAATTGTTTTCCATATATACGCAAGGTCTGTCATTAGGCACGGCCTTTTCGGTCAGATCTATGTTGAGCTATATGCAAGGATACCTTTGGGATATATTAGGGAAAAGTGCACATGTCAACCTATCCTCTCTATCCTCATCTGTCATACCGTTTGGGAGATTATCTATCTCGACGAGCAGGAGGTCATCTGCTCACAAGGTTTGTCTACTTATATTTGCTTAGACCCTTTTCTAATCTGAAACACATTAAGAAATAAAGCGAGATAAATAACAAAGCAAGGAAGGATACATCTCGTAGCCATAGTTGGATCTCAAGTCATCAATGGGGTTTACCGCCGGTGCCAGCTCTCACCATTGCCCCATAACTGCATCCTTCCTCCCTCCTTCCTCTCCCGCCATATATACCCATATCTCAAGATTAACGCCCGTCGCTGTCACCTCGTTGATTGCTATTAGTTCCCCCATTGACGTCACTACGTTTGTCACTGTCAGTTCAACCATCGATATCACTGACATTATTTTGACGCCAAACGAAGGCGTCGCGGTCGCCAGCAATCAAACACCGGTAATCCAGGCGAGTTTGCTGGTTGTTACCTCCCTGTCGCCTCCACCTCGATATCCACCTTGGTCACCACGGTCAGGTCCAGCTCGAACGTTCTCACAACTTCTACCATACGGCAGGAACATTCTAGTTCAGCGATTCCCCTCTCTTCTTCGCGTGCTTCTCATGTAACCTTGATAGGGACTTTGTGTGGCGGAGTTTTGTTCTTGGTAGGTGGGATTGTGGCGGAATATTTATTGCTGCGAAGGAGACAGCGATGGGGAGCACATTCCACGCATATAGAAGCGTGGTCTCTGGATGGGACAGCCGACGCTTCCGCTCTTACAGACTCGGACACGCCTGGAGCGTACCAGAATCCTTCACCCTCCAGGCCACTATCCAATGTCATGCTACGGTCCCATCGTACACGTTGGACATCAATAACCCGTCTACTCGGAGTGAAGGACCACTGCCTCGGTTGCTGGATACCACCGATATTGACCTCATTATCGCTAGGGTTATCGAGGTTATCGGACGTCAGGAGAGACATAGTAGGGGGAATGCACCACTCAGTGATCCGGGATTATTTGAGACGAACCCGGAGGCAATGCGACGCCTTATATCCGGAACAACCACTTTGACTTCTCCGATATATGAGGAATAGTCCTAGAGATTAAGGAAAGAGAATGGCATACAGTTGAAGCATTCCTCGCTATTTACCACGCTTTCATTTGATGGATGGTAGCTTTATAACACAAAAGGACTTCATTATTTCATAGACATTATTAATTTATTAGTCTGCAAGAATAGAATGTCCAAGAATCTGGCGGGAGTCGAGCTTGCAAATGAAGAGAGTTCGACAATTTGCTTTTATGCAAAAGAAGAAAAATTTATTAAGCAAGAATCGAACCTGCGGCTGGTCAATAGTAACGACCAAGGTTACCACTACCCCATTAATGCCTGAAATGATGAGCATGATACACCACTACTCATTGTTCAGTGAAGATTGAGATGTTTTTCTTGCCTCTTCCCTTCCCAAAGAACCTCTGGATAGCCATCCTCCTCTGTTTTCTCAAAGTTGACTTGGGGAGGGTATAATACCACGTTGTCCAGCAATCCCTGATAACCTTGTTTGCTGTGGTTGCCTCTTCCAGAGAAATAGGGATATCCGACATATCCGACAATAAAGGACGATGGATATCAAATTCCCAAATCCCATCCAACGAATTCCAATAGGCTATTGATAAATCACTGAATTCGATGGAACGCAGTGTACAATTTGGCGGTCGAGGCGTTATATGAAGGTCGAAAGCCCTACGTTGTCTGAGGTTACCACCGAGCCCAGCCCACAGCTGAAGCACCTCGATATTTGGATAATACGAAAGAACCTTAAATAATCTATCCAAGTTGACCTAGATATGCAGTAATGAATTCGCTGGCCCATCATGATTCAAAATAAAGGTACGCACTATGATATCCGATTCACCACGCACCGAACTTGAAAAGCTTACACCAATCGATAAATCCTCGATAGAAGGCCATAAATTTCCCATATGTTCTAGGCGTTCAAATTTATATCGAAAAGGTAAACCAAGATGGTAAACACGTGTCATCGGATTATGTCTCAAAACGTTCAAATAATGATCATGATAATGATCATCAGGAATATCTGCCAATTGTATACTCTCGAGGTTGCTGGCAAAGGGACTGATGTCGCAGAGAAGCTTAAACGTTCCTCTGAACGAGGTGAGTTGATGTAAAGGGAGCTGCTTCACCGCCGGACAATCCTGGAGCAAGTGATCAAAGCTCAGTTCAACCCGTCGATCTTGGTGTCCATTCACAGTGTCGAGAATATTCGCTAGGTGTTCCCATCTTGAAGGGTCGAAGATATACAAATCATAGTGAATCGAAACATGCCTTACACTTCGAATTTTGGCAAGTGCAGCAGGTGGGAGCTCCGCCAATGTCCCCACGTCCAAAGCGACAGAGAAGATTGGAGCTCTGATATATTCCAAAATGTCGAATAGACTTCTGGTAATATCTGGTGACACATTGTATATCGACGGTGACACATTGTATATCGGCGGTGACACATTGTATGTCGACTCGGAGAGCCAGTGTGCCACAGGTAGAATTGACTGCATCCGATCGGCGCGAGCAGAACCGTCCTGCGCGTTGAATTCAAACCATTTATACGAGCGGGGATCGAGGTATCGCGTGGGCACGAGCGGTCGGGGTCCGGGATATCCAGGGCTTCTAGAGTTTCGGTGTGAAAAACCAGGGGCACCAGGATGTATCTCAAATATACTGACAGGTCCTAGATTAGGAGCCATGTCGATAAGATCGGCCAGTTCCTGATACATGGTGGCGAGCATGGTGTTAAGGGCTTCCCGAAGTGAGCGTGATAGGTTAACATATTGATTTTTATTTGCATCTCGACCCAACCGAATATCAGAGACCTCCACTTGCTTTCCATCCACCATAAGCCGCAGGGAAATAAGATCGTTGACATGAACGGGTGACCAATAGAGTATCTGCACGCGTCGCAGTGCCGAGAGGATAGTCTTATTCTGCGCACAGAACGCAATCCGTGCTCTTGAATGACACACCTGTGCGAAACAGGCTTGCTGATTCCATTCAAATGATTGCCACCGAACGGAAAACGTAGCTGTTTCGAAGATAAGAGGGACAGCTGCTGATCTGACGAAACGACATATTTGGGAGAGGTTGAGTAGATCACAGTGAATGAGTAGTTGTTGAGCTATCTGGGTCCATATGTCGAATGGCAAGTCGACCATCGAAGAAGGGTGGAGAAGGTGGTTGAGTTGGTGAGAGATCGGTTGGAACCACGTGAGAATAATTTGTCAGCAGAGCGATGCGCGAATGTTGGCAAATGCATTAAGCGTGCTATTTACATTGGTTTCCGCGGTTGAATTCATGATTGGGCAAGTGCTTAATGAGAATGGAAGATACTAATGAGGTAATATTAAAAAATATGTGCATTCTCGAGGTTGCTTGGGAATGAGGACGTTCATAACGAGGAAGCATAACGTACAAGGATGGATGGAGGTTGTGAGAAGGGCGGATAAGAAACTTCGTCTTGGGCTGTACCTTCATCAGTGGGATGCTCGAGGTTTTAAATCACAGGCTTCAGCGCACCATTAGGAGGCCTACGAGACTCTCGGAACGCCAGGCCAGAAGGTTCCACGGCAACCACAGGAACTCCCGTCGATCCTCAATAGCCTTTGGTTATTGAGGATTCTATAAGTAGTTGTAAACGAAGAACTACAATAAGCAAACAAAGCGTTAGATGGAGACACAGCTCTATGTAGGAAAGGTCACATACCAAATCGATGCTAGCCTGTACCGAGCCTCACATTTCCGCCATTTGTTTCCTGAAATAGTAAGAATCAAACCAAATAGGATGATCCAACATTTATTCCAACGTAAGAAGCAGCCAGTGTTGCGAAGCTAGAGTTCCAAAGAAGGTCGTCCATGCCGAGGTTTGTCTTCAAAGCAACAAGACAATCTGAACGCGGAAGTATGGCATTTGAATCCTAAGATTTAATCTATGCATGTTGCATTTGATTATGGGAGTGTTATCGGCGCGATAATTCCGCATTGAGCCAAGGAATCTAAGTTCGTGGAGATAAAACAACAGTACGTCAAATATAGGAAGAGGACATTTGATCGAAACGTACCTTACATGAATATGGTGCATGACAGCTGTTGTGACCCGTCTAATACAAAGATCATCTCCAAGAGTTGTGTGTAGGATATACAGCTGTAATATAGTGAACGCGAGTCGCCCAGAGGATAGATGATGCTGCTTTGAAGCGATGAAGATCAACAGGCGCAAGGACCAGAACGCGAAGCAGCGACTAGGACGGCAAGTTGGAGCAAGTTCGGCGGGTATCGTCACGCTGTGACTGTCATCACATGCTGACGTACGTATGTCGCAAGAATCGAAAGTGGCATATTAGGCAGTGTCAGGCCTGGCCTGGCCGTCAGGTAGAGTTTAAATTGGTCAGCCTGACATAGTTTAAAGCTTCCGGCTGGTTGGCCAGGTTGGCCAGGCTCGCCAGGCATTACCAGGCCTTGTCAGGCTCACTAGGCATTGTCAGGCCTGGTCAGGCGCTCACAATAAAAAAGAAAAATATTATGAATCTTTCAATTTCATCTTTATTTCCCTTCTCTCTCCTATTTCTTTAATTTTTTTTTCCGTGTTACTTTACTTAGTCACTTGTTTTTGTCATTTTCTAATTACCATTAATATCTAGCCAGAGCAGGATTCGAACACAGGACTGTAAAAGAAGAATTACCAAATATATCATGCTAAACCACTACACCAAAGGGACTTTAATGTTTTATGCTACCTAACGCTACATGCTGGTTCTTGCACTGTCCATATAAAAATGGTAAGGAGGTATACATGGACGCTAAGCAAACAAACACTTTTTTCTTTCTCGGAACTCTGCAGTACATTCAGCTCAGATGTTTTTCACGATCGTTGCTTAGTGAAAAATTCAAAAATGTAACGATTGGGCAATAAGTACTTTTTTGAAAATGCCCGAAGGCACGATCGAGGTTTTTACGGAAAGTGCACTATCGATAGCTTTTATACCGAAATTGCACGAACTATGCTTTTTTTACTCAAAATGCACGAACATCACTTTTTTAAAAGTGCACGATCGTTAGTTCTCAACCAAAAGTCACGATAGGACCTTTTCGTATTAAAAGCACCTCGCGTGTATCCGTTGCTGGGGTCGCACAGAACACTCTTTGTGACTGAAATTGTAGGAAGACGAGACTCATAGAACTTTCCATGTTGCTCTTCAGGCCATTTTCCATCTGGATTGTCCTTGATGAGGTTGCGAAGGTCGGTGGCTTTGAGGTTCTTCTTAATCTGGAAGTCAGAAAGCGCCGAATTTTGCACGACCATGCTCACAAGTCCTTGGTGTAATATGGCCTGCGATTCGGAAAATTTTTAGTTTCTTTCGGTGGTCTTCATAGAGGGAAGGTAGGGGCAAAGGATAGATAGTGCGTTTTTTTCAAAGTTTGTGATTGTGGAAATGCTCGATCGAAGGAAATACACTAAAATATCCGAACGCCGATGCCACGATCGTTGATTTTTAGTAAAAAAAGCCCCGAACGCACGATAGTAAAAAACATCTGAGCTTAATGTACTCAAACTCTGACGCACTCAAAGATAATCCATATTTGGGCATGTACGAATTATATAATATATTGGTGGACTCTTTCACACAACAATGTTAAATTTTATTTTATTTGTTTTCCTCCTTTGAATATTAAAAAAAAGAAGATATTTACACATTCCTCAACTAGATTTTGGTAAAGGCTTCGCCGCTCTCCCAAGGTATTAACACCCCTAATCCTAACCCTTTATGCCCTAACTTCCTAATTCTAAGTCAAAATCCTAAATTTCAACTAGATTTTGTTGGGGTCTTCGCCATTTTACTAACGTACTAACCCTAAAAAAATGATCACATAAAGAACCGAACCTAACAGTCTGAGTATTACCAATCAGTCATCAATCACTAATTTCCGGCCCTAAACCACTAAGCTATCATTACCTCAACACTAGTCTGAAAATCACGCTAATACAATCACATTCTAGCTCTACCCAGATGCAAGTGACAAGTAGTTATCGGGCGCTAGCGGAGGCATTCCGGAAAAGGAAATGGTGTTTGTCTGCTTAAATTTCTTAGATGCCGTCCTTACCATCACAATGCTGGGTGAGCCCATGATCAGGTTGAAGTGCAGTCGGTCAGGACTGGCCAGGACATGATCAGGTCAGGGTGGAGTCAGTCAGGACTGGCCAGGACCTGATCAGGTCAGGGTGGAGTCGGTCAGGACTGGCCAGGTCATGATCAGGTCAGGGTGGAGTCGGTCAGGCCCTGACCAGGCCTGGCCAGGCCTGGCCAAGATGGGCTTCGTCC